GCTGCGCTGTATGTGAAGAGAGGCCTCCCTACGAGGAGGCACTGGCCGCCATTCTCTGTCACACATAAAGACCTCTTGTTTCCTCTCGAGCCCATTTCTTGTCTCTTCTTGTTGCGGATTCCAGTCAGGTTGTAAAAGTACGATAGTTTTCAAGGGTTGAGGTTGTCATCACCATGGAGCAGACTCTTGACAAGAATGGAGAGAGCTTATTTATGAAGCTATCAGGACACACTTTTAAAAAATTGATAGTTTGGGGGCGCCTGGGTGGCTTAGTCGGTTAAGCGTCCGACTTTTGCTTAGGTCATGATCTCGCGGTTCGTGGGTTCGAGCCCCGCGTCGGACTCTATGCTGACTGCCAGCTCAGAGCCTGGAGCCTGTTTCAGAGTCTGTGACTCCCTCTCTCTCTGACCCTCCCCTGCTCACACTCTCTCTCTCTCCTAGAAATAAATTAAAAAGAAAAAAAATTGATAGTTTGGGTTACCTTGCCGGTTGGGTAAGAAGTAAAAGACTTCACTAAGTAATCCAACAATCCTGTTGACTGAACTCACCATTGTTTCTCGTGGTTTTGATGTTAAGGTAATCGTTTTTAATACGCTTTTCTCTATTCCTGAGAATGTTCCAGTTTCCATGAGGAGATACTTAAATATCTACCTTTTTAAATTGATTGGTTTAAATACAATTGATTGGTTAATTAGGAGGACACCGGAGAACCAGCTCTGAGGAGTTCTGACTTAGGTTAAGTGGCTATTTAAAAGTAAGGGCTGTGGGGCGCGTGAGTGTCCCAGCCGATTAAGTGTCCCGCTTCGGTTCAGGTCACGAACTTGTGTTTCTTGAGTTTGAGCCCCTCGTCGGGCCCTGTGCTGACAGCTCAGAACCTGGATCCTGCTCAGATTTTTTGTCTCCCTCTCTCTCTGTCTGTCTCAAAAATAAGTAAAGATTTAAAAAAACCTTTTAAGTAAGGGCTGCTGTTCCACATTCAACTTCCCTTGTGTTGCCAAATTGCAGATGTACAGCTGGAAATTAAAAATTCTGTGTGCTTCAGCTTATTGATCCCCCAATCCAAATCTTCATTGCACATTAAGTTCACTCAAGATACTGCACAGTGGCAGGGATGCTGGGTTGGTTCAGCCAGTTAAGCTTCCAACTCTTGGTCTCAGTCAGGGTCTTGAACCTCAGGATTGTGAGTTCGAGCCCCACATTGGGCTCAGTGCTGGGCGTGGAGCCTACTTAAAAAAAAAAAAAAGCTGCTGCTCAGTGGACATAATATACAATTTCATATGGTGATTCAGGCTCCAGCATTCATAGGGGATAATTTTTTTTTTTTTAATTTGCCTTCTATTATTGGACTTCTAATTACTCATGCTGAATGGAAGCAGAAAGGTCTTCTTATAAGAACTGCCAATTATTTAGCTTGCAGATTAGAGGCAGAAGTTCATTTTCAATAGTTCACACATAAGAAGTAACATTGCCTTCCAAGGAGTTCTAAACATACTAGCCTTTGTTTTTTGTTTTTTAATAACCTCAATCTATCACACTTTAATAATTCCAACAAAATCTGCAATTTAACAGGTGTCTGTCCAGAAATGATTAAGCTAATTTCCTTCCTATATGTCTGTGTGTCTCTCCTTGGTGAGAGTCAGTATTTGTTGTGGTTACGAAAGGAATCTTTACAGCAGACCTGTGTTCCGTAGAATGTTTGCATTAATGGTATTAAGCATTTCTAAAGAACTTGACATTCACTTACTCTTTATTTCTTGTAATCCCCTTCTGGAGAAAGAGTGCACATTCTGTTTCCCTGATGAGGTCAATTTGCTTGAAAAATAAAAATGTTTCATTAAAAAATATAATTTGACTTTCTTTCTTCTTTCTTTCTTTTGGGTTCCATTCAAAATAGTCTTAAGTCTCTTGAGTTCCAAAATGACTAATTAGTACAGTGATAATATAGCATTCTCTTTCATTGATCTGAAAATTATACTGTCCTCAGGAGACCTTAGTTGGATTTGTGTATTTTGATGCCAGCGGAGAAAATGTTCTTTCTCACAAAAGAGTTTCTTCTCTGTGATGTGAAACCAGCCCCTGTGTGAGACGGAGGGGACCTGGCGTGGATGTGCAGAGGCAAAGGCGACTTGGCTTCCCGTGGGATGTAGGATTGATGTTGCAGCCTCGGAAGAGTTCTCGCATGTGCCTGGCACCGTGCCGAGTGCTTTAGTTGCATTATTTCATTTATTCCTCAGAATCCTATGAGATGGTATCCTCATATATGGGAAAACTGGATATCTGTGTATGAGGAGAGATTTTTTTTTTAATGTTTACTTATTTATTTTGAGAGAGAGAGAGAATGAGCATGAGCAGGGGAGGGGCAGAGAGAGAGAAGCCTAAGCAGGGCAGGCAGAGCCGGATGTGGGGCTCTGTCTCACAAACAGTGAGATCATGACCTGAGCAGAAATCAAGAGTTGGACGCTTAACTGACTGAGCCACTCAGGCGCCCCAAGGAGAGACTTTTAACAAGAGTACCCACCCATCTACTCCCTGACCGTGCTGAGCCCATGTTTGCTCAGCATCCTAGAGTGCGAGGTAGGATGCTCAGAGTAATGCTGTCCTACTTCCCATCATACAACAACCTGTGGTTATATAGGCAGCAGAGCAGAAAGTATATTTATTTCACACACCCATTCTACTGTTTGACATTCAAACTGCTTTGTAAAAACGTGTTGCATTTTTCATAGTAGTCCTCTTTTTTTTAATTTTTAAAAAAGTTTTTAATGTTTATTTTTGAGAGAGAGAGACAGAGCATGAGCTGGGGAGGGGCAGAGAGAGAGGGAGACACAGAATCTGAAGCAGGCTCCAGGCTCTGAGCTGTCAGCACAGAGCCCGTCACGGGGCTCGAACTCACAAACCACGAGATCGTGACCTGAGCCGAAGTTGGACGCTTAACCAACTGAGCCACCCAGGCGGCCCTGTAGTAGCCCTCTTAAAGTAACCAGCTGGGGTACAATGTGTTTCACACCCACTCTGCCTGATATCTTCATTAATTAACGCCATTCGTAATGCCAGAGCACTGTTCTATTCAAAACCAATTAGAGGCCCCCTGGTGTAAAAATGAAGGGTAAAGAAGATGGGGGATGGCATTTCTCCTCTTGTCTTGTAATTAATAGCCGATACCTGAGAAATCTTCCACTGCCCCCTCCCCGGGCTCCAGACTGGCGGCGTGCTTTTTGAAAGGGTCACAGGAAAACTGAAGGGTTAACTGCAAAGTCAAGAACTGGAGACATTAACACGCTTGCGTGGAACCTTATATTAAGAAAAACGTTGGAAGAGCACATGGAAAGAGAGTTGTCCTGCAAGGGAAATGTGTTGGTGAACTCTGCGTGGAAAGCGTTTTTAATACAACTTCAGCTCCATGTTTGTGCCGTTTTAGTTGTGAAGGGTGCTGGCCGAGGTCAAGGATAGTTTTCCCTGAAACCAGATGAGAATCTAACTACGACAAAAATAGGGTTCTGACTGCTCTCTCACCAGAATGTAAATAAGCAGAATATTTGTGTCATAGGGAGTAGTGTAAGCAAAACAGGATCCTCTGCCTTTTGTGATAGAGAGATACTAAAACAGCCATCGATAGGGCAGCCCTTCTGTGGAAGTCGAAGCGGCAGGTTAAAATTTTACAGCAGTCTAGCGGCGCCTGAGTAGCTCAGTCGGTTGAGCATCCAGACTCTTGATTTCGGCTCAGGTCATGATCCCAGGGTCGTGGGATAGAGCTCTGCATTGGGCTCTGTGCCGATTTAAGATTTTCTCTCTCTCCCTCTCCCCCTTTGCCCCTCCCCCACATCTGTGCACATGAACATGCTCACTCTCTCTAAAATAAAATAAATAAGGGGCGCCTGGGTGGCTCAGCCTGTTAAGCATCCAGCTTCAGCTCAGGTCATGATCTTGCAGTTCATGAGTTCAAACCCCGTACTGGGCTCTGTGCTGACAGCTCAGAGCCTGGAGCCTGCTTCAGATTCTGCGTCTCCCTGTCTCTCTGACCCTCCCTTGCTCACGCCCTGTCTCTCTCTCACTCTCAAAAATAAATAAACATTAAAAAAATTTTTTAATTAAATAAATAAATTAACTAAATAAATAGATAAGTGAAATCATATAGCAGTCTAATGTATTCTCATTTGGAAAGATCTCCAGGAGATGCTGAAGGATGCTGCTTGATCTCTTCTGTCTACAGATGTTTGAATACGGACAGTTGTGGGCTGACACATGCATGCGAAAAGAACCAGAATGGTACCCACAAAAACACCCACACGGGGGGAAGGGAATAGAAATGGAAGAGGAAAGGGGGAGTTTTGTGCATTTACTTTCTATGTTTCTATCTTTAAATTTACACCCCGCACTCACGTGTAATTAAGAGAACTATATAAAGAGGGAAAGCAAAGATTGAAGGTCTCGGTGAAGATCCGTAGTGGTTAAGGCATAGCTTTCTGAGTAAAACTGCCAGGGTTCGAATCCCATCTCCGTTCCTCTGGCCGTAGCTCCTTCCACAGGAGAGTTAACTTCCGTGCCTCCTTTTACTCCTCTGGAGAACAGGGGTATCGTACTTCTGTCATATGGTTGTTACTAGGATGAAATGAGTAACGGAGGGGAGAGCGTCCGGACCACGTCCTGACACACGGTACACATTCAGCATATGTTAGTCATTAGCAGTCAGAATACTCGGACAACGTCTAGCTTTAATCAATTCTTGGTGCAAGCTTTCAGTCTGAAACGTTTCTAGTTTAGTAGTCACAGCAGATTTCCTCCAAGTTTGGTTGTAGTTGTTGATGATACTGTCACATCCTTAGCCCACTGGTAACCTCAAAAGGAAGAATAACAAAATCAAATGAAATTGCCTTGTATTATGCGGAGTGTCATACTTCCTGTTGGTGGAATTCTCCGGATTTTGCTGCTTTGACCGCGTGATCTTACATACCTGAGAAACTAAAGAAATGGGAATAATGAGGTTTTTCTCTCTTCCTTAGGAAGACTATGATCGTCTGAGGCCTTTATCTTATCCAATGACTGACGTCTTCCTTATATGCTTCTCTGTGGTAAATCCAGCCTCGTTTCAAAATGTGAAAGAGGAGTGGGTACCAGAACTTAAGGAATACGCACCAAATGTACCCTTTTTATTAATAGGAACCCAGGTATGTCTGCTTTGATTTTACCCGCTGAAGAAGAGTCTCTCTGGTATATTTTGTGGGGTTGTTCTCAAATGGAACCAAAGGTTAGCAAATGATATGCACGTTGAATCTCCGTTGCAAGTTATAATGATAACACTCTATATTTTATACAAAAATAAGGATTTGGGGAAAAGTAGTGCCAAAGGAAAGCAGTCATACTAGTCGGGGTTTTAAAAGTGAAGTTCTCTTGTTTACTCTCTTTCTGGTACGTGGGGATTGAATGGGACTACATGCTTTAATTTATCTTTTAAGAGTTGTAACATTATGGGACATTATTGACCTTTCTTGATTAGATTGATCTCCGAGATGACCCCAAAACTTTAGCAAGACTGAATGATATGAAAGAAAAACCCATTTGTGTGGAACAAGGACAGAAACTAGCAAAAGAGGTAATAGAACCTTCACAGAATTTAAAAATGAATGTAAGACAAGCTTAGGTAATAATAGAAGCTAACATTGATTATGCATTTGCTGTATGCCAGGCACTGTGCTGAGTGCTCTACATGCGTTATCTCATGGAATCCTTGCACCTCCTCGGGTAGGTCTGACTAGTTCCCTATTTACAGAAGGGAAAACGGGGGCGTGGCGATGTCAGAGAACTTGTCAGGTCCCATAGCAAATAAATGGCGGAGCTGGATTGCAGGGAAGGCCCGGCTGCAAGCCCAGGCTCTCACACCCGCACAACGCTGCCAGCATATTTTCCTAGTAAGTCACGTGTAGAAAGAGGCATCAGAAGAAGCCCTTTCTAATCACTTACTCGTTTGTACTGTGCCAACACAGGCTTTGTCTTCGGTTAAGACGCATGGAGTGGCATAGGTTGAGTTTAAATCTGCAGTTAAAGGCAAAAAAATATGACTGGGTTTGAAAAGAAGTGTGTTGAATTTTCTTCCACCCTTTTATGAAAGATTGAGAATATTAGCATTCTAAAAAGTATACGGCTGCTTTGCACATAATAACTTGTAACTCCTATTCTTCCCGTCCCTGAAACTAGGCTTACTTTTTTCTCTATTTGGCCCAAACATAATTGGATTCTATTTTTTTAGCTGTGACTTTAATAAGCCTTTCGTGGAAACAGAATCTAATAAGGTCTTTTTAAATGTACTGTCAGGAGGCGGAAGAAAGCAAGAAAACTTTTTGGAGGACAGTTTTTCCTGAAACAAAAAGACAGACAGCTTCCCTGACAAATCGGTGTAGAAATTCCATGTGTTCCATTTTGTAATCTCAGGGAGAGGAACAATTTCTAAGTGTCTTAGAGGTCAAAGTGGTAAATGAAATTATTGGTAATTTAACTATGTAAAAAGTCAATATATCAAATGCCAGAAATAAAAGTGAAAGTCATCAAATAAACTTGACACGTATGGCTGAAAAATGGGTTTAAATGCTTAGTATAGACAGGAGTTCCTTTCATAGAAATTAATCAGAAAAAGACATACGTGCCACAGTAGAAAAAATGGACTAAACGTCAGTGGAAAGTATGCCCAAAAATACAGACTGCAATTGAAGATAGGAGCTATGTTCAAAGTCCTTAGTAGGCAAATATAAGTTCAATTTCCCCTAATAAAACGGATGGAAGAGAATTATGATAGCCACTGTTCCAGGGGTGCAAGGAGACGGGCACTCTCTTGTGCCACTAGTGGTTGACTAAAGGCAATCTTGACAATATGCAAAAGCTTTCAGGTCATGCACACTTCTGATCAGGCATTCCACATGTAGGAATTTATCTTCAAAAATGTATTACAGATGTGCTTAAAGAGATGCATTGTTTATAATGGCAAAACAAACCCCGCTTCGATTAAAAATTTCTACTAACACATCTGTTGAGGTGTTTATATTCATTATGTAGTTTAAGTGGTTGCAAAACACTAGGTTCTCACCTGGAGGCCTGTTGGCCGCATTTAGGACAGCTGGGTCCTTCTTGAAACACTTTCACCTGGCCTCCTCCCACGCTCTCTCCTGGCTTTCGCCCCTGGCGATGGCCTCTCCTCCACGTGTCATCTTGTCCCTGCATTGCCGGGGGCCCGAGAGCAACGGCTTCTGGGACAGCCTTTCTTCTGCAGCCACCCTCACTAGGCCTAGGTGGGTTGCTGTCGGTCCTGTGGTTTGAGAAGTTCGCTACGGAAGATGCCCAAATTTCCATCTCCAGCCTGCCCTCTTCCCTCCACCCGACTTGGCGATCCAGCTGGTCACTGGCCCGTCCGGGTGGCTAAGCATCTGCAAAGTTAGCACGTCCTCCAAAACAGAATTCCTGATTTTACCCGCCGTGCCTGTCCTCCCAGTTACTACACCCAAACACCTTGAGGACACACTCGACTTTGCTCGCTCTCCTCCCGTACAGGCATCCCTGCAGCCAAACCTGTTCTACATCCAGCACCCAAAGCCTCCTCACCGTCCCTTCCTCTAACAGTCTGGCCAGGCCCCTCCATCTCTGGCTTGGATTACTGGAACAGCTTTCTGACTCACCTTTCTGCTTGTCTGTGACCCCATGGCAGTCTGTTCTCAACACAACAGCCTGAGTGAATCTTTACGAGGTCTGCTGAGAACTGCCCCCCAGTTCATTCCCAGAGGCCAGTTCTTACCGTGGCCTCCAGGCCCCTGCTGCGTCTCCGCCTGTAGTCTAAGCACATGGCCTCCTTGCTGTGCCCCCAAAGGCTTGTACTTCAGGATCTTTGTAGTTTTGCTCCTCCCTCTGCCTGGGCTGTTCTTCCCTATGGAACATTATGTTCTCACTGTTTTCAGGTCTCTGCTCAAGTATCACGTTCTCAGTGAGACCTTGCCTGGTCTCGTCCCCCCTACCTCCCTTCCCGTTTTCTCCAGACCACAGAGCACCTTCTGACTGTCTACCTCTATTAGCTTATGGTCTTCTCCCTCTAAAATGTAGGGTCGACTTAATTTTGTTCCTTGCTGTATTCTCTCATTTGGCACATAAGAATGCTCAGTAAATTTCCAGGGAAAGAAAGGATGAATAGAGCCTCTCTTAGAGTAGAAGCCAAAGTCCTTATACTGGCCTTGAGGCTACCTCACTGGCCTCATGGCTCGCCATTCCCCCCTGCCCACTCTGGCTTTTGTAGCATTCCCTGAGTGCTGGAAGCATGCTCCTGCATCATCTTTCCGTCTCTGGTTCTGCCTAGGTATCCCTCTCTGTTCAAACCTCACCTTGTTGAGAAGCTTCCCCGACTACGACTACCACTACCTCTGCCCTGTGCACTTCCCATCTCCCCCCACCCACCCCACCTTTTTCTCAAAGCACCCACCACCATCTGCTGTTCCCTCAGTGTGAGAACTTAAGCAAATGGAAGCATCACACGGTAGAGACTTTGGTCTTTTCTTCCGTTCTTTGACACTATCTCCAGCGCCCAGAACAGTGCTTGGCATATGGTAGGTAACCAGTAAATACTTGATGCGATATATTTTCATAGAATAAATGTGGAAGGATGTAGGCTTACTTTGTAAGTTAGCTATTCCTGAGTTTTATGATTATGAATGATTTCATTCTTTTTGGCTGTGTTTTACCATCTTCCTTACAATGGTGTGTTGTGTCATACCGGATGTGAACGAAAGAGTTGATGTGTTTGTGGTGTTTTTTCTCCTTCCCAGATAGGAGCATGCTGCTATGTGGAATGTTCGGCTTTAACCCAGAAGGGACTGAAGACTGTTTTTGATGAGGCTATCATAGCCATTTTAACTCCAAAGAAACACACAGTAAAAAAGAGAATAGGATCAAGATGTATAAACTGTTGTTTGATTACGTGAGAAACCTCTTCAGTGGCCAAGGAAACTGTCCATTTCTCTCAGAAAGCATAGGAGATGCTACAGCTATACCCAGATGAAGCGGTTTAAACCTTGAAAGAAAAACAAAACAAAAACAAAAACCAAACCCTGTCCTCAGAATTCTATAAAATTCATTAAGAATGTTTCTTAAATAAGGTCCAAGAAGCAGCAAACAGCATCTGAAGCCACAATCTATTATAAATACTTTATTTCAACTAGAAGGTACGATCTCTCAGGGGTTTCATAGTTTAAAAAGCTACAATCACATCATGTTGTAACTACATAAAAAAACAAACAAAAAACAGTGCTGTAAATGGAACTGCCTGGCTTAGACCATATACATTTCTGCACAGTCTTTCTGGAATCTGCACAAAGAAGTATCTTCTCCCTTTGCTCCAATTAATTGTTCTTGTATGTAAGTTGCTTTCTATTCCAGTAGATCCAGAGTGGTGAAATCACAAGGCCAGCCATGTAGCCAAAGGTCGCTCCAAGCGTACAGGAGATGGGCCATACCTGAGGAGAGAATGTATGAGCTCAAAAGAGAACAACTGTTTTATTATTACTTGAGCACAAGTTAAGTGTAACCTAAATATTTCTATATTAAAGCTTAATGTGCTTTCTTAAAGAATGCCAACAGTGTAATAAGGTCCTAACTGCATTTGTCACGAACACTAAAAATGTACACATTCTAGTTAATGTGCATTCGACTGTAACAAGGCTTCTGGCAACTGTAGATTTAGTCTGATGCTCCCCAAACTGCATGAGATACATCCTAAAATTACAAATTAAAATTCTGGGTCAGACTTTGTCATAATCCTGGACTTGATATAGCTGTCTGAAGTAGCTGGCAATTTTGTTCTTTAATTTCCACCTTGGCTTATATATCAAGTGAAATGAGAAGCGTATGCTGCTCAATGTATGAGAAAGTTGAAATCGTGCTAAAGAGAACCTAGAATTCAAGCATGTTACACAGAATCTATAACAAAGCAACTGCTTCTATAATAAAACTGATGTCACCTTTCAGACACAGGTACTGGAACCACAGCAGGGGTTCTAGAATCACAGCTTAAGTATACACCCAGAGCGTCAGTTAAATGAAATACTGGCTTCTAAATGCCTATTTTCTCCAGCCACATTACATTTCGCACAGTTACATCAAGCAAGCCCGAAGTGTAAACAACATTGGGATTTCTTTCATCCACAAGCAGTGCATGCTAGTCCCTAGGTAAAAGGCCCTACTTTGACAAAAATTTGTGTTCATCCGAGGAGCTTACTTGGTATACTGGAGCTGTTTCTAATCTGTCTCTCAGGCCATAGAACTGTGTTAGGGGTGAACCATCTTACGTAATGACTAGTTCTGTATACAGCCTAATGAAGCCTCCTTGTTTGGTCTGCTACGGATCCGCCTTGTTCCAAGTGCCATGCAGCAGCCAATAGTGTTAGAGTGTCAGTGTGAGCCAATTCATGCAGTTCTGAGAAGCATAATCTAACCCATAAATTCCCCACCCCCCCGTCTTTCTGACATTTAAACTTGCTGTTAACTAAATTATGATTTATTTATGTCTTTGGTGAGCTTCTGTTAATTTCCATGACTTGAGCTAACAGCTATGTCTATTGCACAGATTGGGTAATGGAACACTAAACTTTTATACTTGAAAATGACAGCCTTAAATGCTCATATCAGTCACAAATCTAAGATGTACTGTCTTGTATGTGAGCTTTGTAGAGATTTTTAAAAATATAAGCATCATCTTCCCCATTGAAGAGTGGAGAGTCTACTGGATAACTAGTCAGGAACTTTCTCTCTGAACTGGACAGTGGATGTCTTCCTTCTCCCAAGAAGTGATGGTTCACATTGAGTACCATGGCCTTATGTACGCTCCAATGGAATCTTTATGTACTTTCTCTTTAATTTGGGTCTATTGATTATTAGCTCTCTTTAGATAGAACTGAAAAGAACTGCATACGTCAATTAGTATATGAGCTAAGTTGTCCAACACATGGTATAAAGGAATTAAGACAGTAAAGTATTATACATTTCCAACTTGCCTTTGGGGATTTGATGGGGATTTGTTTTTGTTTTTTTTTTTCACTCAAATTCACCTCTGAAACTTTTCACACTTGGGTTTACTAGCCAGTTAAAATTAAAAGCTAGACTTTGCCCTGCCGTAAGAGAAATGGACTAGGAATTGGGAAACACAAACTCTGATGTCACCTCTGTTTCCTGCCTGGGCCTCAGTTTCCTCATCTATAAAAATGGGAGGTAGAATGAGAGGATCTCCGACACGTCTCCCATTTATCAACTCTTGTGATTCTCTTCTAATTTTTGGACATTACCTTTTTGGCTGCACATTCTTAAGATGGTAAAAATCCTGTACATAGATTATTAGAACTCTAAGCAAAGATGATTGTATCATCTGAACCTGAGGTGCCTTAGGTACTCTATTGACCTTGATGGGGTTTGGAGTTTCCCATTGCTTATTAAGAGCCTTTTCATTGCTTTGGTTCTTTAGGATTTCTTTTTGCACTCAATCCTTCCTGTCACTTTAACTAAAAACCAAAGATTTGTTTTCTATTCATGAGCAGATTATAGAGAAATTGCCTTATTTTCAGCAGCATGTCTACATTAAAGACTTAAGTTTCAGTAGAAATTGAGACTAATCATTGGAACAACTAGTTCAAAGTAGTCAAATATCTGGGAAATAAAATACTTCAAAAATATCTTACTGACATGAATTTTGCTAGTTAATGCAAATACACTGCTTCAAATAAGGTCATGTATGAATGAATTTAAAAGAAATGTGCAGTTAAGTTTTTTTTGCATATAATCAATTCTGAAGTTCTTAAAAATAATTTTAGGGACTCCCTGAAATCTTATTTAATACTTTGCTAACCTGTACCCTTTTTCTGTCTCTACAGATACATTTTAGATGAGCCCATGTTGAATGATCTTATTTTCAATAAGTAGAGCCTGAATTAATGGTTTTTATTGTGAATTAGTTACTTTAGGCATTGCTTCCATTTGATTTCTAATTATTACTTTTAAGTACCAAATTAAATACTGGTTTGTTGGTTGTTGCTTTTTAAGTGATTGTTACTTTAACAGTGTCCCATCTTAACACATGGGGTTATAAATAAAATAATATGCATAGTTTACTATCTATGTAAAGCATTGAACTTCTTACCTTAGTTTTTATTTAACACCCAATGTAAATATTTGGGATAATACTCCTCTGTTTGTCCTGCTGTGAGTCTGATCACTAGCCAAGTGTGAGCACCTGCACTTTGTTAAAAAGCACACTGTCAAAGTGTAGGGAGAATAATAATCCCTCGTGAATCCCAGCCAGATTCCAGTTTGGGTCACTAAATTCTACTTGAATCACTCTGTAATTTCAGTATGGCTCTTTGTTTCCAAACACGTACATACAGTCACACGCACATTCTTTAAGCAGCTGCCGTACCGCACCTCCAGTGGAATGCCGAAGATGAAATATTAATCCAGAAGTTTTGTCTAATGAGGGGCGAAGGCTTAGAGCACTTGCTGTGTATTCAGTTCTCAAGAAATCCAAGCCATCAGCAAGTTAAAATGTTGGACTGGCTTTGAAGACTGTTTGCTAGTGACGGGTCAGGCTTTCCTGCTGGACTTTCCTGAAATGAGTAGCCCTTAGCTGTAACACACTGGTTTTTAAAGGAGAATTTCTTCACTTAAGGGCAAGCTTCCTGCTTTTTATTCTCAGGACAGGGAACAGCAAAAGGAGCCCCTGAAAGGAGTCAGGGGAGGCTGCCACCTAAATCACCTTTTCTCTAAAGTCCTCATGGTGGAATTTCCTACCGACCTTCTTACAACTGCTTTAAACAATTTTTAACTACACAATGGCAAGAGATTTCATGTTGACTGATCAAACCATCCCAGCTTCACCACGCATTTTCATACTTTGATCTTGGGGTTTTCCATTTAAAACTGTGTACTTGTCTCACACACAGATGCTTCTGTTTAACATTCATGCCACAAGTAGGCTTAAAACAAAAACAACTGTGGTGTCGTCTACTGAACAGACAATCCAACTGCAGTGCCACAGACATTTCTCCAAATTACGGTCATCCGGGCTGGCTATACATATAATTATCCTGTTTTGTTTAAGGAAAATAGAAAACTCAAAGGCATTCATGTAAAGAAAGTCATTCACGAGTGTTTGCCACCAAAATGACCACCTTCTTTTTATCTAGTTTTTTATATATTAACAGAATGTTTTAACCACTAAATGGAAGAAACAAATCCTGTTGCATGACACATATAATCCAAGTGGGTAAAATTATCACAATTAGCTGTTAAAAACCCCATTTTAAAAAACGAGTAGCTACATCACATGAACAAAGCATCTTGCTTAGAGTACTACTATTATCCTTTCTCTGAACCAAATGACTCCTTTTTAATTTTTTTTTCATCACTTAAACCAAAAAAGGTCAGTGGTCCCTTAAAATACTCACCATTAAGAAAGGCCTAATATTACAGAGTTTAGGTACATGGTATCAGCAATAAGTTGTGTTAACCTCAGAAATAAAACAATTCCACCCTAATAAGCTAAAAAAACAATTTCTCAATAAATAATACAGATTTAACTTTGTATGCTTTCTCGGTTCAACAAATCAATGTTATTGCTGGTTGAACGACATTTCAACATTATACAAGCTTATTTCCACCTGAAGACCACACTGCTCTCTCCTGATCAGACATTACTGATGTATCTAAGTAGTGTTGAGACTTTTCAAAGCGTGTTCTAAGTATTACAGAATGATTTAAGGACTCTAATTTTTTTTTTAATTTTTAAAAATGTTTTATTTATTTTTGAGAGAGAGAGAGAGGCAGCATGAGCAGGGGAGGGTCAGAGAGAGAGGGAGACAGAATCTGAAGACAGGCTCCAGGCCCTGAGCTAGCTGTCAGCACAGAGCCTGACATGGGGCTTGAACCCATGAACCGTGAAATCATGACCTGACTGAAGTCGGACACTCAACTGACTGAGCCACCCAGGTGCCCCAAGGACTCTAATTTTTGTTATTAGGCTGAATTTGAATCTTGGCACTGCCATTTATTAAATATGGGACCCTGTGAAAGTCAGCTTACCTCTTTGTACGTTGGTTTCTCACCTGTGAAACGAGGATTATCATAAAACCCACCTCACAGGGATTGCTGTACTGAGTAAATGACAGAATGCACCATGTGGTACTTAGAACCATGCCTAAAACAATATGTGGCACATAGTACATACAAGCTATAAACTGATGATAATCTTTTAGTTCACATTCCTAGTAGGCACATGTAAGTTGCCACTATAATCTAGAACACCATCATTTCCCCAAATACACCATCTCTGCAGCTGATCCTATTAAAAAATCCTTCCTTGAAAAGTATTTTTCAAGGACTTTAAGAATATTTTTTAAAAACTACATCTAACTGAACCCATGTTTCCTTCTTGTCAAACATGATGTACAGATTTTGAATGTATGTCATAGAA